GGAAATCGTCATCGAAAATATATCTTTTTTTTTTTCGATTTTGACATCGTATCGTACCTCTTTTTTGGAATAATATATATGGTTTATCGAAACTTAACATAGATATAGTATCGTATCGAACGCAGTGCTGCGATATTACATCGACATCTTTTCATGGTGGCAATACCGGTATTTATCGATATCGGAATACTTTTACGATATTAGATGTATATCGATCACACCAGCAGGGAGGTGTACGGCACCGACACGGACTGGATAGGTGGAATGAGGGATGACCACATTCATTGTATTAGTAGGCATCGGATCAATATTGGAATGTAAGCAACATATCCGCAGCGGAGGCTCCAAGAATAGTACAAACCGCAACACATCTTTCTAGTTAAATATAAATGCAAAATTGCGTTAGCACATACTTCGAAGTACTACATAGTATTCATTTTCAAACCAACCATGCCACCGCGCAAACAGCTCCGACAGGCCCTAATCGTCCAAGCGAACGAATCGACAGTCTTTTCCTCCACAGACACTCGCTCGTGCTTCTTCAAGCCGGACCGCGCATCCGACAAAGATAGCGTTTCCTACAAGGATTTTGTTTGCCATGTCTGGAGCAAAACGGTCCGTGTACAAAAGACCGCTGGACCAACCAACCTATTCAGCTGGGTACTAAACAACCATGCGTATTGGCACCAATGTATGGTTCGTTGGAACAACACGGGCCTATTCCCTGGTGACGCTTGCATGAACAGCGAGAAGAGCCAAGAAATGTATAGGGCCATGGATTGGGTCATGTAAGGCCAAATTGGGCTTAAGTTCTTTGAAAAGCAGAGATCCAAGTCGAACATCAACTTCACTGGCACTAGTCGCTCAAGCGATGCATGTATGCGGTTGCCGTCAAAGTCAAAGAAGCCATTTCGCACGAACTGCCGCCAAGGTTTGGGTTGATGTTTGATGGATGATGGACACATCAACATGAACACTACGTCGCAGTGTTCGCACTGTACATGGACCAACACCAACTGCAGCATGTTGTTCTTTCGATGGCGCCGTTGGTTGTGACCGACGACTCGATCATCTCCACATGACATTCTTGACCACGGTGCTACACGTCACATGGAGTACCTTGATGTTATTCTGGGTCTCTACAATCGTACAACTGCCGTTGTGTCGTTCCTGGTTGCAGGCAACTGTTCGTTCAACCGCAAGATGTCGCGAGACATGATGGTACCTTTGGTGGGTTGTGCCAGCCATCGCCTCAACTTAGCCGTTCGAAAGATGGTATCTACGCACTTTGACGACGTCATTCAAAAGGTTCAGACCTTGATGGTGGCGCTGACCAACCTGAACAACTCCGTGGCATTTCGGCGCTTGACAGCTCCACGGGTGCTACTACCGAAGCTGCAAAATGTGACTCGTTGGTCCTCAACGTATTCCATGCTGGAGCTCTATTTTCTGCTGCTTCCCTATCTTGCGAAAATGCCTTTGTTGTCCAGCGATTGGCGCCAACTAAGGCTAACATCATTCGACTCGAAGAAGCTGTTGAAGCAATGAGAAGAATTCAAAGCATAACACTCCTGCAATCGACGACGGTGACCATGAACGAAGCGCGCACGTTTTTTACCAACTCGTCGAAGACTTTCCTTGCATGGACACCTACCTCGGTGCAGACGCTAAAATCATTGAATTAAAGGAATTCGAGAATGCTGTCGTCAAGTTTCAACTGTTGTTCGAACATTAAATATCAACTCATTCTAGCATGAGATGGATATGATGCTCTGCGACATGCACTTGATTGATGTAAATAGATAGTTCAGAGACTTGCACCTGATTGATGTAAAAAGATTAATACGCTTCTTGATTCCATTACCAAATTTCACTGCAAACATGCCCCCGAAGCCGTACACTGTTTCCATACCCCAGAATGCCTTCGACACCGATAGACGAACGCGATGAAAGGCAACGAGTACCGCTTACGTACGGCCACAGTGGTAATCCGTACGAACCAAAACGAAATGGAAAATATAAGCCGCGCTCCACTCGCCGCTACGACAAGACCTGCTCAAGGGGAATCGTGTTACCATTCTGTGGTAGACCAAGGACCATGCAATGCTAAGCGCATAAAAAGCCCGGAAGGTAGCTTTGGACATGGCCTCCTTATTCTACACCCCTTTGCCAACACAACCACCATGCACGACAACGTAGTGTGTTGCTGCAGAAGTAGGCTGTTTTTGCAGGTAATAAAGCACATGCAAAAAGGGATTGTTCAATAATTTATTGGTATTGCGAAACATGCTCAATATTCATCGAAATGGAATGGGCAACTCGATACCTTTTCGACATCGAATGGATGCCTTCGATATCATATCGATACCGCACGTGTACCTCGATATCACATCGATATCGAATTGACTGGGGCAATAAATATTGTTGGACGATACGGTTTTATCGAGAAATTAAGATTTATCATTCCGCATCGCTGGTGGTGATGTTACTGAAGTCTAGACGTGTTCAAATTGACCGAGTCCTGAATACCACATAGCATGATCTTGCTCTCATACACAGCCTACATAGTTATCTCAATGCTCCTTGCATCAACCGCCATCACAAGTGTAGAATCTATCGCAACAGGGCGAGATGAATCTACGCAGCGAATTTCGTGATTTCACGGCATTCTGATTGGACTAATTGGACAATTTTGAATTCGCAGGGTGGCCTGCCTTGCGAATTCCAAAAACAGATAGACTCATGAAAAATAAAGTCAGCAATACAAACTTGAAGATATATTCAATTGAAACTATACAATTTCAGAATTATTTATGGAATTCGCAATGTGGTTCACCTTGCGCTGCATACAAAATTGCCTATTTCACCTTGCTTTTTCGGGTTAATGTGCAAAAAATCCTCTGTTGAGGCATTAACTGTAAAGGTATATTCCAGTACTGAGTATTTAGATGTTTTGAACGTAGGGTAGGTAAGGTAACGCATCGCGAAATCCCGAATAGCATCGAAATCGCGAACAGTGTCAATTTTGACCAATGAATAACTTCCCTTGGTGGCCGATGAAAATCTATTGGCTATGATTATATTCACCACTCCATGTTGACGGATTCAAATTCAATGTAATTTAATTCCAAACAATAATATATTATCCTGCATCCACTATGATGTAGTTGAGTTCTGTCATTAAAATTGTGTTGAATATAATGTTTTTCGTTGACATTTTGAATTAAAACATCCAGATTAAAATTGGTGATGTTATTTTGCAAATTTTTATAGCATCATACTCAAGACAAGACATTTGAGTGTTCGCGATTTCGGAATTCTTGAAGTTCCCAACTCGGCACGAAAGTGGTGATAACAATTTTTGTCCAAATCGCAAATCTCGTTCAATTGTGTTTGAAATGGCACACAAAATGCAGCTTGAATTATATTTTCATTGGGTGCCCTCAGATTTTCTCAGAGTAGTCTGGTTTCTCCAGGACATCAACTTGAATGGACAGGCCAAATTTGCGGCAAAAAGTGTTCGGGATTTCGATGCGTTACCTTACTGTATACTAGTACCTGCTGTGGAGGATTAGTCCCTCTTAAACTAGTACGCAGTAGTAAGTACTAGTGTACTAGTACTGTACTTTCTTCGAAGTATAAAAGGCTGGCACGACACAAAATCGACAAAATTCGGCCCCGTGATTGAATGACCGACATATGATTGAACTCCGATTGGTCAGTATTATTTCCAACAATTCGATTGGACGAGGGGGTTAACTTAACATTTAGGGCTGGTCTGGATGCCACCGAATAAAATTATGCCATAAACCGTTTTGGCAAGTCTGCAAAAATTTCCCAAAGTCTCATATCCCATAAAAAAGGAAAAAGGAAGTATCAACAAAGTTGTCTGGATGCCAGTTGGATTATGGAAAAATTGTTCGATTTCCGATTCAAGTGCAAGGCGCTAACGTGACCACTAACCTCTATAATAAAGTTGGACCAAATCGGTCCATTTTATTTATGCCATATAACACCCGATTCTCAATAAAATTGTGGCATAAAGTTTTGAACTTGGGCGGCATCCAGACGCAGAAATGTCGAAAAATGGAATATGTCGATTTTGGCAACTTTTCTTGGAAAAATGGCCATTTTATGCCATTTTTCGTGGCATCCAGACCCGCCCTTAACATGTAAGGAGCAATTCATGCGGTAAATGTATGGTCTTCGGTATGGAGAGAGTTGTGTGTGGTTGATAGCTAGCCATGCTATCTCAAGTAGCATATTTTAGTATTTTTGTGTCCACTTGACTTCAGTATTCATTTATATAGTTTTTGCTTGCCTCGTCATATTATATGGGTCCCCCAACATGGAATCTGCATACTGTACCCGGTACCCGGAATTTGTTACTAGTAGAGAGGATTAAAATACACACAATTTAATGCCCAACTTGAAGATTAACAGTGCGAAACCTGTGAAAATAGAACAACTATGCTACCATTGCAATTGTCGATTTGAAGGCTTTGCCTCTGTAACCAAATTACCTGTTAAAACGAATTCTTAAAGCTATTATTTTGCCATCCATTCTTTTATTCAATTTTTGACGTCCTGAGTTTTCATTGGACAATATTAAAACATGTCTGTCCAATCCGGAGTCCATTCACCGACGAGAATGAAAGTGTTTAACGTGTTAATGGTCTTACAGTTAATTATTATATTTGGTAAAAAACATTTACACATAATTATAAATCGTAGTGAAACAAAAATCGGAATCGGAATGCGACGAAGAAGAGTTGCGCGATCGCAAGAAAAAGAGATCAAAGCCATCCAAGTCCAAGAGCCACAGTGAGACTTTGGAGGCTGGGTTTATGGCGATTAAGCACGGTTTTATTCACTTGGGATCATCACTGGCAGCGGCGCGAAGTCAAACCCACTAGTAGGGCCGACACTGGACGATGTATTTCATGTAATTTAGGGACAGTTCCTGACGATCGGGCAACTCGTTGCGCATTTAATCGCACAAAAGGAAAAGTTAGATACTAGTATAAATTTTCAAATTACTACTACGTTAGTATAATCATCGCAATTCCATTGCGTTCCGCCATCGCTGCTCGACGGATAAGAATATCCGTTTCGGTTTCAAAGTAATGTTTTCTATCGCGATGGTTACATGTCACATCGTCAGTCATTAAAGTGGATAAACATGGTGTGTGGCCAGGATAAACATGGTGTGTGGCCACCGTGCAGTTCAATGATCTTTAGTTCATCACGGTTTTCAAAAGTCGAAACCTAAACGCACACTCGACCACCATTCGAGTGCTGGACAAATAGTAGTCGAATCGTTTTGCTACGTTCGACAAACGCCCATTTTCTTCGTGCGATATAAATGGGGTCAACAAACTCGGAAGCAAGGTGTATCCAGAGTCACCGGTAACGTAACAACCCGTTGGGATGCAATGCCAATTTGTTTGGCCAAGTTGAATACTTTCCATATCATCTTGTCGGAAAGGACCCACGACGGATGTCGACGAACAAAAACACTATGCGATGGTCCACAAGAACTTGAGCATTGAGGGATGGGTCATCATTTCGATTGTAGAACCCGTCGTACTCATGAGTCCTTTGGATGTCAGTGAGGGTTCCATCATATCACCGATAAATCGCAGTAACCTTTGGGCGTTGTAAAAGCCACGTTCGATGGGTTTACAGTCACGCGAGCAGGACGGCAGCCGTATCTACGACTTTTCTAGGCTCGCCATCACATCTACCATCGTCGTCACGACATTGCTACACCATGCCTTGACCATACCAAATGCTACCGCTCAGAGCTGACCAATATTTTGTTTTTACTTATTTATGAGGCTCTCTATCGGCGAGTTATATACTTTGTTGGAAGTCAAGCACGTTGTATCTATTCACCATCGCGTCTGCAAAGAATAATTTATTCCTATGATCCCCTCAGACGAATAACTTAGTCGTATAATACAAACACAATCGACAATTTGTATTATTAATCAATTAAGAAAAACATACCAGTAACTAGTTCCTTAATCCAAGGTGCGCATTGCCTCCTGAACGTCATTGGTGGTCCAAAAATGGACGTTCGCGCGCAAGAACAATTGCTCTTCAAAGTTCTTCGGCGTCATACTGCGGCGCCGATCCCCAACTGCCAACTTCGTAGCCGAGAAAAACGCTCGACATGTTGGATGTGGGACGTAGGAAGCGGCAATCCTTGTAAACGCTCGCAGGACCTTCTTCTTCTTCAGCTCACGCTCCGCTCCGCCAAAGACAACACCAGCACAGCAAAGCCTTCTTCGCTGCCTTGGCTCGCTTGAGAATCCCGCAACGCCTTGATGGCATCAGCTTCGACGCTGGTCAGCGATGCTTCGCTTCCAAGCAGGGCGTTGACAACACCGTCTTCAAACTCTGGGTTCTTCACAATGGCCGCGCTTCAACCCAATCGTGCGGTGGCATCCGGATAATCTCCAATAACACCCCATTCGTAGAACAGTTGTTCCCGATAAGTGCGATAACATTGTCCCACGTCTTGCCATACAATTCCAGCACAAATGCCGTAAATTCGTAGTGGGCATCCGCACTTAAGGAATCATCGTCGCTGATTGGTGAAATGCCAGTAACGTCCGCGTGTAGCCAATCGGATCGCTCGATGGAAATGTGGCAAAAATGGCAAGGTAGTGCGTTGACCCGTGGGACCACCCGTCATGGACAAGAGCAAACTTGTCGGGGAGCTGACTGGCGATCTTGCGCTCAACGTGGTAGCAGAGAGCGTGCATGTACTTCATGAACGAAGTGCGCGAGATGGGGTCGAGCTTGGTGTATCGACGGGCCAAGGTTGTTGGAAACGAACGAGAAGGGCAACATAGACATCGTGATCCAGTGCAACCACCCGTACACGGTGCTCATGCAAGCGTGGGACCATGATGTCATACAGGGCAGTCGGAGCAGGAGGGTTCATGACGTCAAACGTGTTGTACTCTGGGTGCTTCGAGGTGATGTGGGAGGCCAGGTTCGAGTATTCACTTCCTCTGAGCATGACGTACGTCACAACGGCAGGTCCAGTCAGTACTTCCAGGGGCATTGCGCGTGAGAAAAGCTCGGCCAGTTGGCGCCCACGCAGGATGTTGGGGTTGGGTCGGTTCATCAAAACAGATAATGAATGTCAGCACTCAAGCTTGAGTTCCAATGGCGCGTGGCTATTCACAGTCGACGAGACCATGAGGGGTATTTATTAATTCGCATCATTTTATAGAAGTGCTTCCAACCATATGCTCAAGAATAACCTGCCCAAATTTGATGGTAAGAAATATGAAATGATACGAGTATTACTAGTATGTCATTACAGGTAGCCCATCTACGATATCCGTAAGAATGCTTTGGTCGTCGTCGCTTTCTTCATCGTCGCTTGATTCGTCCTCACCTAGTACGTACCTGCTCGAGCTGAAAGCCACCGACGAGGCTGCAAATGAGCCTGTACTGAGATCCACCACTTTCTTCTTTGTGTGGCTGGTACAACGGTAGATCAAATCGCTTGGGAGCTCACTGAAGTCCAAGTCCAGGCGCTGCCGCACATCTTCCATGGTCGTCGCCGTCGTGTATTGTCGCCCGACGCCACCCTTCAGGTAGGCCCACACGTACTCAATTGGCTGCAGGTCTGAATGGTATGGCGGCGTGTAGACAATTTCAAAGTTTCGCGCTCTTGCCATCGCCACGACCTCAGGTAGGACGTTCTGTCGTACATATGCTTGGACCTTCGACCAAATCACTGATCGGTACTTATTCGAGGACACTTCAATTCCGAAGCGCTGGCAGGCCGCCAGCAAGTCTTGCTTATTTCATGTTCCCTTGGGCGTGTCGTGTGGGACGCCTTTGTGATACGAGGCGTTGTCCATGACGATGACGGCGCCAGACTTGCCAAGTACGTCCAGTTCATCCATCAATTCCTTCATCCAGTTGACGAAGTAGGCATGGTTAAACATGCCGTGATAGTCCTTGGTTTGCCGTGAACCACCACGGAACACCCTTGTCGCGAGCAGCTTGGATCCGTCAGGGCCGTCGTCGAGAATTCCGGCGATGAAGCATAGCCGCTTCCCTTTGTGCTTGGGCTTGCGTGCCTGGCTGAGCTTGTCGTCGGGGTAGTACAGGCTATCGTTATGCCGGCATAGTTGTGGTGGATGTACGATTCGTCCATATATATAAGAGGTCGATGAGGTGTTAATTCAATCGTACCGGACATATATTTAATGTACTTATCTCTAGCAATAACAACTTCATCAGTAAGACCATATTTGACCTGACCTTTCTTTTGTCCTCGTTTAAATCCACGACTCAAAAGATAGTCCTGAATGGATCGTAGAGACGCTTTTGTAAGTTTGTTGTCGGTTTCATCGTACGCAACATGACCATGCTGTTTCAAAACTGTCATAACATCTTTCGCTACGACTCGTGTTCGGGTCCGACGTCGCTCGCGGACGAATTCTACAATGAGACGCAGCACTGCTTTTGTCTTTGGAACTCGAGATGAATGAGTAGAATTGTTAGCAGGTAGTTGTTTGACTAGAAGTATGCTTCCATACCTCGTGAACGACCTTTTTACTACGTCCGAGGATTGATGCAATGTGTTCGGATGCAGAATCAACGTTTACACGTCGAAAGTGTGCGTGCAACCGAAGTATGTCCAGCAGTTCTTCTTTTGTTAGTCCTCGTGGTCGCTCACTCTTCACGTACGACGTGATCTCGTCGTACTCGTCGTCTGTGATGGTCGAGTTGCGAGGCATCTCAAAGTGAAACTGGTGGTGTGCACCATGTATGCGATTATCCGGATGTACTGGCGACGAGAGGTTCGGCAATGAATGGTGAGGTGAAACTCTACACACGTAATAGTATTAGTTTTGTCAATATATTAGATTTGATGTGTAAATCTGGACATTAATTCCCTTCTAGTTTTTCAATGCAAACTCGAAGGGAATTAAGTTTCAAGGCGGAATCGCCGTGAAAAACTGCATCGGCGTGTGTAATTTGGTCATCCGAAATTGTCAAAAGCGTAAAAAATGTCGTAGTGACCCCTGATGGTCTCGTCGACTGTCAAACGTTTGGATGGCCACACGCCAATGAAACTTGCTTCAAGTATGGTGCCGTGGATGAAAACATATTGATGTTTGTATGGACCTTTCAGATTACATATTCTCTCTCAAAAATACAATGACATTTTATTACTATATACTTCCTCCGTTTCATAAAACTGGAGACCTTTTTATCCGGAAGAATTTTATCTTGATTTATGTAGGCCAAACATATCACAAAACTGTATTTTTATTCAAAATCCGCATTGTACGACAGGAGTCAGCATGATATGGGTCAACCTTCGTCGTCATTAACTTCTTCAACCATTGTGCAGAGTTCGTCAATATTGGACATATTGATCGTACTCTCAACGACACACAAAGCAAGAACACTAGAAAGGTTATCTACTCTACGCTCGAAGTCCATTCGAGTGTTCATCGCTTGAATGCTACTGACCACATCTGGATCACAAACGACGCGAGCGGCCGGTCCATGGCGTAAAACTTTGTCCTTGCCCAAATGCGGTAACTTGTACGAGTTGTCGCCGCCCATCCTCAAACTTTCCTCAAGGACCCTTTGAAGGGTAA